TTTCTCATACCATGTAACCAAGCAATATTTCAAGATATGACAAAATAATTTCACACTATAGAAACCAGTGCAAAAAAGCTTAATTATTCAACTTTTTTTTTTGTAACATTTTGAACTTTTTTTTTTTTTCTTGACTCAAATGTTATTTTCGGTTTCACGTAATAGTGAAAACATGAACAAGATGACATCTAATGTTAAAAATCGCCCCAAACTTTTTTAAATGCATCTGTGGTACTACTGTTAAACCATTTATTTTCACTGATATTTAATTTCACTAATGTAATGTTTTTAGCATATTCACTGTTTTTTAATTTCACAAATTTGTCAAGCAGTTTTATTGTTATTTAATATGTTCACATAGATTTAATTTAGCAAATTTTACTTATCAACGATAATAGAAAAAAAAAGCCCAGTGAATAATTAATGTATTTACAGTACGCTGAGAACAGAAGTGTTAGGAACGAGATGGTCTGTGTTGTTTTTACAACGCATCTTCATAACATCACTGTGCATGGTTACACAAGTTGCAGGCAGTTATTGGAATACACTTGGAGTTGGGCTAACAAAAAAATTTGTAATTTGGTAACCTACAGTCAAGTCCAATTCTCTTGTATTTCAGTATCAAATAAATGTTAAAATCTTCTGATACTTTAATATGCAAGAAGATAACGAAATATTGGAACAAGCGACATACACCCATAAGACTTCTTCTTGGAAACTGAGCCATACATACCAAGTATCAAAGCAATTGAGTTGTTATTTTTTAAGAAGAAGTTACAAAACAAATTACAAAAATATTCACCAAAAATAGAGAATTGAAGATATCATCATCACGGTTACGAGAAGTAACCGTGTCATCATGAAATGAACAAATCTAACAGAGGTCCACCCAAGGTTACCTATATACCAAGTATCAAAGAAATTGAACTACCTGGTAGTAGTTTTTGAAAAGATGTCGAAAATAGCATTTTTTACCAAAAATGACAAAAAATACTCTAAAAATAGAGAAAATAAAAATAGAGGTACCTACATACCAAGTATCAAAGGAATTGAGCTTGTAGTTTCTGGAAGAAGTCAAAATGCGATTGTTGACAGACAATCACCTATATGAAGTGCTCCGCTCCGATGACAGCAAAGCTAAAGATTACCTCATCTTATATGTGTGGTTGTACTATCATTTCAAATATAATAAATATCTACATCCCACTTTGTATTTGACATTAATTATTTGTTATTTATTTTGGACTTAAGAGATGCAGGCCAAATTAATAAGATGTTATTTTCTTAATGCGTTCATTATTATTGGTTAATGCCATTTTATTAATGCAATCTATTGAAATCTATTATGCAAATATTCAGACATTAAAATTGAAGACATTTGTAACAGTTAGTAATGTTAAGATGACTTAGTGGTGGCAGCATATTTGGAAGTGAAATCAACCAATATAAATATTCTATACTATGGAAATATGTCATCATGAAAAGGCAAAAACAATTGCTCATTATTTTGTCAGTTTTTCTATTTTTCTTTCTCGGTTAGTCATCATACTCATATTTGTTATTCGGTGGTGCATTTTAACTTCAAACAGACCAAGGTCAACATTTATTTGGGATGCAACCCAATAAAGAAACCAGACATACTGCCCTCTGTTGGTATGCTTGGAAAATAGCTTCATTACCATATATATGGTAACATTGCTGTGAACATAGCAATATGTTCTCAAAAAAACAACAATTAACATTATGATAAACAGAATGAACTTTTTATAACCCTTTTTTCCCCCAGGAACATCATATTTATTCAAAGACAGATTAACAGTGCATGGATTAACAGAACAACCTTTGAAATACAGATATTCCCATTTCAAACCATCCCAGTTACCGTCCATCGAAAAAACTCTTGATCTGAAACCAATAGCAACACCACCATCTGTACCTCTGAATGAAATACTTGGCCCATGGTAAGTACCGGTACATGTTTAGTGAACAAATATTAATTCTCATCATTTTGTACGATTGCAACTATAGATCATCACATCATTTTATTTGCAATCTTGTTAAAAATGAAAGCCATTTTCTTCAATTTATACTCCTTACGATAATCAAACATTTTGTTTTAGGTGCTGCATTTTACAGGTTTAATCTATTCGTCAACAGAGGGCGCTGTGCCATGGCAAAATAGGTGGTGGGGGGGGGGGGGGGGGGTTGGCACATACTTTTTTTTGGCACATACTTTTTTTTGGTGCTTCTTTTTTTTGCACGCTACCAGTAAAATTTTGTTTGTTTGAGGTCTTGTAAGTTGATAAGCTCTACCAAAAAGCCCGACCAAAAAAAAAAATCAATGTACTACATGTATTTATTTAAACCATGGTCATGGGGGATACAAACCAGGTGTACAAGTGGTTCATGTGTACGTAGCTAAGATTTAAATAATTTGGTTTTTGAGAGTTTTGGCCAATCAGAATGTTGTTGCGAGTACACATAGCTTAAAGCGACAGTAGCTTACCAAAATACTGTTTTTAGACACAATTGCGTAGACAAAATGACCCTACACAGGACTATTATCACATTAATTGCAATGTGAAGACTAAGTGTCAAGTACCGGGTAGTCCCCATTTCGTTGGAATCATTCCTATGGTGGGAACCATATGAAATTATGATGCACAACCCACACTATTAATGGGAATTACACATACAATCATCGGCAATGGATTTCACACAGCATAAGTTGTCATCTTGTACCAAAATCCCAGAGGTTTGCTTGAATAAACTGGATTGTAATAGATGGCACCTCTGGAGACCTGAACGTAAACCTGCGTCGATTTTTTGTACGCCATTGGTATATAGCCTACATGTTGTACTTTCAGTAGCCAAACAAACTGACATAGGAAATAATTTATTAAAAGGTTACAGCTTTTGTCACTTTAATTTGTTCAGAGTTGTTGGCATTTTGAACTTGTATACCATAACTATAGATAGTCTAGAATTCCCATTGGTCAATTAATATTGTTTTGATTATGTACAAGTACTGACAATCCATTTTTATCCTCTTTCAGCTTCATTGGTGGTGTAGGCAACAGACAATGTTCGGCCGAAGAAAGTGGTCAAGACAATCACAAACAATGAGATTACTTGAATGGTATCGAGTAAATCCTTCTCAGCTGAACATTCACTCTGAATTAAACGACATTGTTTCTGAAAACCAGCAAGTTAATGATCTTCAGTGTGTGTGAACAAGCAAGACATTTGTTGTTGTGCTTACTGTAGTTTGGAGAAGGGGGAACATTCAATTACTGTATGCAAACACAGACTCTTGCATCATTCATTAAAGAAATTTGCATTATGATAATGCTTTATTGACAGTCATGTACGCCTTGTGAAATATCCTCAGTTGTTTAGTAGAATAAAATTATTCATTCAGTTTTCTAAAATATTTTAATCACTTGGGTGTGCAAGAGCATGTACATCCAAAATGACTTGTCATATGAAATTATACGGGGG